CATTGGGAGTCTGGAATCTGTAATGTGAATATAATACCGTGTATCATTTATAATTCCTCTTTAATTTCTGATTGGAATGTTGATAAATTACTTTGGTTGCAGCAAGAAATTAGTCATAAATGTTTATTTTCTAATGTTTGCATTCCTGCAGATTAAGAGCGACACAAAAAGAGCTGTGTACTGTGCCTTGATACGGTTGTTACAGGATAAAGACCTATCTGTGAGGGTATGTTCCATAAGTTTGCTTTCCTTTTGTGTCATGTCTCCCTTCATGTTTCTCTGTCCCTTCATAATAATCTATTCCTGGAGGTTATTGTACTTTGCTCACTTTTATGTTGTGTATTGTTGTTTTAGCTGGCAGCCTGCCGATCGTTGTGTTTACATGTTGAAGATGCAGACTTTTCAGAGAAAGATTTTTCTGATCTACTTCCTGCTTGTTGGGATTCATGTTTTAAGTTGGCTAAAGAAGTTCAAGAGTTTGATTCAAAGGTAAATTCTATTGTTGGTTGTTGTTGATGTTCACTGCTTGCTTAGGCATTCTTTCTCCCCTTTCTGCTTTTCTGGAAAAGGGGATTTATGTATCTTATGATTGTAGAAAATTTCTGGAATCTACAAGCTGAGCTTTAGAATTTCTTTCATGCATGTACAGCATCTGATGATAAAGTTGAACAGATAGTGAATATTACTTGAAAACTTTTTGTACTTATGTGCTTTGCTCATTCCTACTTAAGTTCGTAATGGATTTCTTTAGATTCATATTAATAAATATAGGTTAGCAAATCTCAGATGCAAATTCTGGTTTTGGGAGAGTGCATGTCTATATTTAAATCCGAGTCTTTCTTTGTGTTTTTGTGTTTGCATGCACGTATATATGCATTGTGTATATTCCTGACATTCCATTCACGTGCTGCTGCTTTCCACATCAATTTCAGGTCCAGATTTTAAATTTGATTTCTATTCTTCTTGGCCATGTCAATGAAGTTATCCCATATGCAAATTACTTGATGCAGTTTTTCCAAACGGTATTGTTGTCACTGCTTTACTTTCTTCTCTGAAAGTTACATGTTTACTTTCATAAGCTTGGTTATTGACAATATAAGTATCGAGGAGTTTTTAACATGGAACAATTTTACCAAATCAGATAATTACCAATATCAGAAATTGTTGTTGTGAAACTTGACGCAAATTTTACTGTTGTGCATGATTAAGTGCAATAAACTTTTTACAAGTGTGTCCTAATGAATAGTTGATTACAACAATAAAATGAATAATTTGGAATGTGAAGTAAAATTTGAGAGCAAATGGGTTAATTAACTTGTATAGGCATGGCATAGACTGTAATTATCAGGTGTGCATATTTAATATATATATTCTTTTAATTTCCTTTAACCACTCAATATGAAAAGGTTTGGGAGGAATCTTCTGGTGAAAGCCTTCTACAGATACAGCTTCTTATTGCTTTGCGGAACTTTGTTGTTGCACTTGGATATCAGTCACCTATTTGCTACAGCATGCTGCTGCCCATTCTTGAAAAGGGGATTGATATAAATGGCCCAGATGAACTCAATCTTCTGGAGGATAGCATGCTGGTTAGACTACTGCCCAAATATTTTATTAATTATCTGACTGCCTTTACCCATAAACATCTTGTGCTAAGGGTCTTCATATCTGCAGTTGTGGGAAGCTACAATTTCTCATTCCCCTGCAATGGTGCCTCAACTCTTAGCATATTTCCCATGTCTGGTGGAAATCTTGGAAAGAAATTTCGACCATTTGCAGGTTAGACTTCTTGATTGTTTCTGTCCTTGTTAGTTAGTCCTTTCATTCCCCTTTTTGTGGTAATTCATCATGAAAGTAGGATTGCAATGGCTCCTTTAAAAACAGTGTAGGTGTCTGTGGTTTGGATTGTCTACCAATTGCATTTGGTGCTTTAGGCTTTCCTCGTTCGCATTCTTATAAATCATTGTTTGCAGCTCATCCATCCCTTCTCTCTCTCTCTCTCCTTTTTTCTTTTAATCTTATATTCATCTGAACATGCTTGCAGGTTGCTGTCAATATTACTGAAGGTTACGTTATTTTGGGTGCAAGGGAATTTCTTAGCATGCATGCTTCCAGTGTTGCTAAACTTCTTGATCTCATTGTTGGAAATGTCAATGACAGAGGGCTGCTTTCAACCCTTCCTGTCATTGACATTCTAATACAGGTATTATTCTGTAAATTTTGAGGGCAGTGACATAATTTGAAATAGGCTGAATTTTGAAGAAGCCAGTAGCAGCGTGTGTAAAGTGTTTTTTTTTGCCACAAATAATATCCATGGGAAAAAGATTTAATAATGAATACAAACATGACCTCAAGCATACCATGGTTTCCTTATACGAGGTTGTCTATGTACCCTTATGTTGGGTATACAATGTGTTGGTTGTCCTACATTGTATCATGTCTAGAAAGCGTTACATCCCTCAATGTGAAATCTTTGATATTAAAAGACGTACTTTCGTCTCAAAACTGTTTTGTCAGAGCATGGACATCTTTACCAGCAAATGCATTCTCATACGTTCATGATTTAAAGAGTGCCAGATGTTTTTTTTTATCAATTTTGCTCCGTGAAAACAGTAATTCACATTATTTTTATGATGGAAGAATAACATGAGAAGCCAAGGTGGTTTAGTTTGTATATGAACTATTTACCTTTGGACCTTGCATCCATAAGTTTAATTGTGTTTCATAAATTGGATGATTATTCCTTAAATTGCTAAAAATGCAAATGAAGTTGTTTGATATCTATGGATGATAGAATTGTTCATTAATGACCATGTAGGTTTAGAATCATTAAATTGTGTTGGACCTGAGAAACCCAATCAGTTGTAGTAAATGCTTATCTTTTTTGCTATTCTGTAGTGTTTCCCTATGGAAGTGCCACCATTAATCAGCAGTACTTTACAAGTAAGCATGGTTCTTTACCTGCAGTAATTTTTTATCATTCATGCTCTCAGTTATATTTGCCACGATATATTGCTTTTCATGACATCTAATTCAACTGTTATGCCTTGTTGAATGTTGTAGAAACTAGTTGTTATTTGCTTGAGTGGAGATGATGATGGTGATCCTTCAAAGACCGCTGTTAAAGCATCTTCAGCTGCTATCCTAGCAAGGATTTTGGTGATGAATACCAACTATCTTGCACAACTAACATCAGAACCTTCTCTCTCATCATTATTGCAGCAGACTGGTGTCACTATTGAAGATAATATTCTTCTTTGTCTGGTTGACATATGGCTTGACAAGGTTAGTAGAAAATATATCCCAATGAAGGGGACAATGAAAGATAGTCAAAGTACTATTGTCAGTTATTCTGAGCTGTTTGTATTGATGTTTAGACTCAGGAAAAAAAAGAAAAAACAAAACCCCACTCCTTTTGACCACCTAGAGGTTTTATGCTTTCTGTTCGGATTGTGAATTGGCTAACAAGAGTCTTTCTCATTCATTGGCATTCTTCTTAAAGTTAATTTATGCTTTTATCATTGTCTTTGCATGTTTATACAGGTAGACAATGTATCTTCACCCCAGAAGAAAACATTTGGCCTAGCACTTTCCATAATTTTGACTTTAAGGCTACCTCAAGTTCTAGACAAACTTGATCAGATATTAAGGTATGGGCACAATCGTGATTTTGATGCATATCTGCAACCAAGAGTTGGATGACATTTAATATTCGCAACAATGATCAACTTTATTCATGCAGTGTCTGCACTAGTGTGATTTTGGGAGGGACTGATGACTTAACTGAGGAAGAGTCAAGGTTATACACTCTGACCCATTTTTTTATTGATTTTGATTGGTGGTGATTACATCAGAGATTTGCAACTATTTTCATTCTTAATTTTTGCTAATAAATTGCAATGGTGGTAACATGAGCTCTAGCAGGTCTCATGATGATGGTTCACTTCCCAGTAAGGAGTTAAGGAAAAGACAGGTTGCCATTCTTTGGTTAGATCATTTGTCAAATTACATATATTTATATACTTATCTATTTATTAGTAATGGATTGGTTTTGCCGCCATTCAGATAAAATTCTCAGACCCTATCAAAAAGTTGTCATTGGAAAACTCAGTGAGAGACAATCTTCAAACTTGTGCTGCCCTTCATGGGGAGTCATTTAATTCCGCCATTGGTAGGATGCATCCTGCAGCTTTTGCACAATTGAAGCAGGCGCTGAAGATGCCTTAGGCAGCCCTGATATTCTTTTTATCACTGAGGTCGTTTTTTCTGTGCGATTATTTCTATTTTTCTAAAGATGGAGAAAACTATTTAAGGTAAGATTTTCCAATCTTCTTAATAGGCATGCTTTTGAATATCCTCTTTATCATTAGATTGAATTCTTTGTAATTAGGGATTTGTTTGTGGGATTGAACTTCAGTTGTGAGTAACTTGAGAAAATAAAATATTTTCTAACCATTTAATATTTGAAAGCAATGCCCGTCTTATCTTCCCCTTTCTTGATATGGTAGACCTAACTTTATGTTTTAATTTTCCATTCCAGGTGACATTTATGCTCTTCTTGAGCTGGTTTGGTGGTTTCTTACATTCTTTTGTATTTCTTCTATGGCTGCTTGGGTGGGTTTTGATTTATTCATATGTTAATTATTGCCCGTAAATTCTAAATGGGCAACAAGAAACTTTGTAAATAGTTTGCCGATCCTTGCCTGCTGCCTGGGCTTATTTAAAAGCACACAAAGGTCAGGAGGGATATCTTTTACACGTGAGTGGAATGAAAAAAAAATTATATGGAAGAATAAAAAAGATTAGCTTAGTAGGATTTCTTACTCCATGGAGGATTTACTGAAGCCTTTCCAGGATTTTCAGCCTCAATATCAATGAGTTTGAATTTCACGGTATTGTTTTTTGAATGCAACTTCTGAATGCAAATTTCTGATGCTCAGTATCAGGTATCTTTGCTGTCTGTTCCTTAATTTCCGAAACAAAGAATCACACCACCAATCTACAAGAAACACGCTTAATCAAAACATTCATTACCCCGTCAAACCAAATGAACTACCACCGGAATCAAAGACCAGTAAACCGACTATTACAATCCCATGTAGACAAATAAACAAACCGTCCGTCCCATCCAAAGCTTTCAACATAATTTGATTGTTTGCAAACATTAAGCAGTGGGAAAAATATCATTCTCCCAACCACTAAAAATTCAATGTATATGATAAACTTCATCAACTATAGATGCTCTCTCTTTCAGTTCTATGCTTTTGAAGCAGGCTCATCTTTCTTGTCTGCCTCTGTCTTAGCTTTATCTTCCCCGGCTTCCTTATCCTCCGAGGCAGCAGCCTTTTCTTCTTGTTCTTTCCCATCACTTTTACTTTCTCCAACACTCAACTTCTCTAGGAGACCAGCAGTGGCTGTGGCATCTTTGGTTTCCTCTTTCTTTCCCTGACTTTCTGCGACCTCTTGAACCATCTCCATGAAGGACTTGCAATCTGAACATAATATGTCACCCAAACATACAAACATATTTTTAATTACATGCATAGACAATTTTCCTACATTCACATCAATAATAGTATATGATTGAACAGATTGTATCAGAAAGATGTCAGAGCTCAGAATTGAACATCTGAAGTCGGACTAGTTTACCCCCCAAACGCCCATAAAACAGGAACCCTCACGCACATCCACATGAACAAAGGACAAAAAAGAGTAACAACCTCTTGCATAATTCCCCAAAATTTATAATGAAAACAGCAAGATCTTTCAGAAAATCCAAATATGCGGGTACATACGGGGATTGTATTGCCTTTTCTGTTAATTGAGTATCCTTTTACCTTCCTTTCCTTAAGATCACTAAGCAACTGGTTCAACTTAAATACTTTTTCTTTTGGTTTGTTTAGCAATGGTACATTAGCACTAGTATTCCTATTTGCAGGTAATAGGCTGGTCTTTGCTCCATTTTTCTTAGGTAATGTTAGATCTCACTTAGCTTTCATGATACTTATCAAGAAAAGCCAGCAGAAAACTAAGGTGTACTTTCTTCCCATACCCAAGACTTCAAAGCAATTTCTTGTGTATAGGTCAGATTGCTAGCAGCAATCAGACAAGTTTTTCAATAGCCTAAAATGAAACTTCTTATTAGAATGCGAGCACACTCAACCATTAGCAAATAGAATGTTGATGGAGATTCATGATGCTGCATCACAAGACATTCTACTCTGCATTATACTTTTTAAGTTTCCACTAAAATCTCTTCAAAATAAAATAAAGGGTTTTTTAAAACAAAAATGTTGATATAACCCATACATGAAAATCCTATCCTTGATTTTATTTACTCTGCATACTGAACTTTTTAAAAAGAAACAATAAGGAGTGAAACATACACATGCAATTCAGTCTAAAACATTATAAATAAAATTTAATAACTACGTTTGAAGAGTTATCATAAAATCAACATTTGTTGCGAGCATAACTAATAGTCGTAGTACCAAAAAACAAGCAACAGAAAATGTTGATAATAAAATTTGTAAATAAAATTAAAAAAATGCAATTGCAAGAAAAAAATGCTCACTCTCAACAGAAGCAAATCTGATGCAGAACATTTCTTCTTTCAATTCACCATCCGCAAAATCAGTTGCGTGCCAAACGCATGATTTATCATTTCCAGCATGTTCTTGCACAGTCATTGTTGGAAGAACTGCAACCATTAGATTCAACATAATTAAAATTCAACATACTAATTGAATTAACTTCAAATCAAGAAAATAGTAAGAGAATAAAATAAAAGAACAGACCTAGATGATTTGCACAGATCTTGAGGGTCTTAGATTGGCGCATGACAAGGCGAACCTTGCCACTGACTTTGTGCTTCAAAAGCTTGACATTTCCAACTCCTCTCTCCTTCCACTGGTTCCCTTCCTTGTCGAATCGATACAGCTTTGCTTTCCTGCATCAAATCATTTTTCAGCGAAAAAATGAGAAAGAAAAACTATCACAAACAAAATCTGACAAAGAAAAAGTTGGAAACAGTAGAGAAATTGCACACAGATCGAGCATCGGATCCTCGTTTTCTTCACCAGTACTGACAGCGACTTCCTCGAGCTTCACAATAGGAGCGACTTGAGCGCCGGTGTCCTCGTCGTCGGCGGCGGGAGCGTTTTCTTCGTCTTCTCTGTTGTGCTCCTGCGGATCGGTTTTAGTAATGCTCGCCATTTGTCGCCGCTGTTGCTTAAGGTTGGGGGAGAAAGTATGTAAGAGTAAAAGAGAAGGGCGAAGTGATGTGAAACCGCTACTTTCTAATGAAAAAGGACTGAGGAGAGGGAAGGACTGAGGAAGGAAGTGTTTTTTCCTTCTTTTTTTTTTCTAATATTTTTGGTTTATAATTTTATTATTAGGGCTTTGGTGGCGGGCGGGGTTGCGAAGACGTTATAATGGGGAAAAAGAAGAAAGAGAAAGGAATTGCTTGGGATGGGCCCAAGGACAGCGGTGTCACTTTCGCAGGCCATGTTTTGCTTTGGCGGGACAGGTGTAAAGATATTTTTCTTTTTATTTTTTATTTTACTGTAATTTTTGGAGTATCGTTGAATGAAATTGATTTTAATTTGATTTTTTTTTCATACATTATCTGGGAAGTATAGCATCTGATTTTTTATGAAATAACATCTGATTTACAAAAAAAAAAAAAAAAAATCTAAAAGAAAAAGAAAAAGAATCTGCGTTATAATCCAATGAAAATCCTTGCGTGCAGAAAGGAAGGCATGCTACTCAATCTCAACTGTCACTGCTGAGGTCCCTACTTTAAAGTGCTCTCCCATACTGAATTTCAAGAATTTCGTCATACTTGCTCTCTACGAAAACAAGCAAATCAAAAGCAAAGGGCAGAAGTAAGACCACCCTCACTACCAAACATGTCGAACATGCTGGAAGAAATTTTCAAATCGAATTAGGTTTTGCAGCACCATCACCAAACATGATAAAAATATAGTTTTTTACATATTTTAAATTCGATGGAACCACTCGTTCATTCTACATGATAATCATTTTGTAACAAGGATGTTACATATGTTTCTTTAATAACAACCACGTTTAACCAACACATGCCAATAAGTTATTAACTTCGCTTACTCACTTCAGTTGTTGGATAAAAGACACGAGGAGTACATGTGATGAAACCCAATTAGGATCAATGTCTGATGTACTATATTAAATTTAACTCATAACCAACCAGGTACAAGTGACCACAGTAACAAAATTGAAAAATAAGGTGAGAAATGAACATGGGAATATTTATTAAGATGCACCACCATTTGTTGTTGCGTCCATTGGCTCAGCTTCAGCTTCGGCCTCGGCCTCCGTTGATTCCTCAGCTTTATCACCCTTCTTACCTGCAACACATGTATACTTCAGTTTACTACATAACCCTCAAAATATTCGTTCTGGTCATCTTAAAACCGTGTTAGTTTATCATTATATACATCATACCTTTCTTCTTCTTCCCACCACCTTTTTTCTTTGTCTTTGTTCCCAATGCTAACCAGGCCTTGATTTCAGGATCATCTATTGTCTTGGTTGGTTGCAGCTCCTGCAGAGGATGGGATGTGATTCGATCTGATCCATTAGGCATTAGCAATACAGTGAATTTGATATGAGCAACATAATCACCTGCATAATTATAGTCCAGAATGTGTAAGCTCGCTTTGACAACATTACAAGGTACTATTTTGAATTCATTATTCAACAAGATTTCTGCTATGAATTCTTACCAGGCTTCTCATGAAGAACAGGATAAGGCTGCAAGAGATCATGATTCACACATTCAACTAAACCTAGACGAGCTCTTTTCTCTTCCAAAGCCCTGTTCGAGGAAATCCTCAAGAGCTGTTAAATAGCAGAAATAACCACCAATGCATATTCATAACAAATGCAAAACAAGCACAGACCGAGCAGTGAATGGCAGGATGGGAAATCTCTGATTTATCTCGCTGAAAATAAATCTAGAGGTCTTCATCTTTAAATGATAATTCTTGTCAACAGCTCTCTTATAAATAGTTGTCTGCTTCTCATCCAACAGCTTCGGCTGCAATTTCAACACAAGTAAATCTTTAGGAAAAAAAATTAATATGAAATAAGCATAGTAACAAGGTTAAAAGGCAAGAAAAGACAATTACCTTGCCTTCACCAGTGCTTGCGACTATATCTACTGCATATACTTCATTCTCCTCAAACTCCGCATCATCAACTCTTGTATCAGGATTGGAGACGCTTAGTATGACTTTGTTTCCATCTATCACAAACTGCTTCAGTTGATGGCTAAGAACACCTTCAACAATTTTGCAGTCATAAGCTGCAGCTACCTTCTGAATTGCATCTGTTACATCCTTATTCTGCCATTAAAACAATAATGAAAAGAAATTAAGCACAATGAAGAATATCAATTAAATGAGTAATGATGCAAATTTTAAACAATATAAATTACAAAGGAAACTAGTAATGCATTCATCAGAAAAGCAGTCCACAACAGGTCTGTTCAAAAAGGGCAGAAACTTTAAAAAATTTTCCCTATCAGAGTAACTATGACAAAAGCCTCACTTGGATGTTGGTCCATAGCTTTTGAAAACTAGTCATCACATAGGGAAACTAGGATCTGAGGGCATTTTGAAAATACCAAACTTTACTAGATAGATTTCACAAATACAAAAAGGAAAACCATGGAACTCATAAGAGTTGCATCTCCACTGCAGTAGGCAGGTTAGGTGGTTGACTAGGGTAGAGAGTGAGGCACAAAGATTCGATAATAAATGATACTCTATCAGTGTAACTATGACTAAAAGATGCTACAATGGAACTAAATCCATAGCCCAAGATTATCTTCATCATGTAAAGATTATGTGAATCATGAACCAAACCTCCCCCCAACCACCAAAGGGAAAAAGCCAAATTTTACAACAGCAAGCTGCCACCACAGTAATTAAAACCAATTTGTAGATAAAAACAAGAAAAGCTTTGCAACAGTGATAAATAAAGTAGAGTAGTACATGTCCATTTACTTAAACAAAATCTCCCAATAGTTTGATAAAAACAATCATGAGTGGTTGCTTTTAAAGAAAATGTTGGTCCACATAGGCAATTGGTACAAAACAATAAAAGATATATCACCCTAGTCAGCCTAGCATGACCAAACATAACATTGGCAACAGGGAAAAGAGGAGATCGACAAGAAATTGATCACCTCGGCAAAGTTGCCTAGCCTTCAAATTTCTATTCTACATCTTACATGAGAGTAACACCCACTTTATGGTAGTTTGGTAAAAACAATCATAAGAATAACTATTTTACATCGAGCTTGATAAAAACAATCATGAGGCTAAAACCCACTTTATGGTAGTTTTTAACGAAAATGTTGGTCCACTTAGGCAATTGGAATAAACCAATAAAAGATGTATCACCTTATGGCAGCCTAGCATGATCAAACATAATATCGGCAACAGGGAAAAGAGGAGATCAACAAGAAATTGATCACCTCGGCAAAGTTGCCAAGACTTAAAATTTCTATTCTACATCATACAATCACTTCCAAGAATTAAATAAAAAAGGCATTGAGTAACCACCAAAAAAAATGTTGTTGCAAAAATTGAGTTGAGAGATCAATTCCCCAATCAGAGTAACCATGACAAAAAGCTTCATTTGGATGTAGATCCATGGCTAATAAAAAAAGTTCATCATTTAGGGGATCAAGTGAAAGTCAAAACTGAAAACACAGTATTTAAAAACCAACCACATATTCAACTTGAACAAAAAAAAAAAAAATTTGGCTCAAGAATTTTGAGATTGCAAAAGCACAATAGCTAAAGAAACATTCAAGAACACAAAAGAATAACATAGAATGTTACAGCATTGATATACAAAACAATACCTTCTTTCCAGGCCTGACAAGCCTCAAGGCCACTTCAGCAGCAGTATTTGCAGCAGCGACAACATCAGCCTGCCTGCCAGTGACTGGCCCATCCTGAACAACATGAGTATGCGCAACTACAGCAATAAACCCATCAATGTGGCAACCTAGATCACTATATCCAGGAAAAAAAAAAAAAACAATTTAGTTGCCATTCAAAACATGATAACCCCACAAAACATCCAAAAACATTGAATTAAGAAAAAAAAATTATATGAAGCTTACATCTTCACCATATCACCTTCTTCCAACTCCGACGTGTCACTAGCAAGCGGAGAGAAATGACAGACAGTGTTGTTCACAGAAAGGCAAGTAGGGAAGGCAACACCCCTCTCAATCTTCCTCTTAACATTCTTGTACATGTTGCCCGTTTGCCTTTACATTATACAAACCATAAATTACTAATTTCATTATCAATTGTCAAACTTATAAAAACACTAAACCAGCAGAAACTAAACCCTTACTCTCTGATGAACGCATCACCCTTCTCACAAATGTCAACAATCTTAGCTTTTGGTTTGCATTCTTTTACAACTAACTGCAAAGCCTCTGCAAAATTTCAAACATAACGTGAAACCACACAAATAAACTAACATCACATTCAAAACCCATAAAGACAGTAAACATGAGAAATTGAGAGAATAAAACGAGGAGATTAACTGTTAACGATCTCAGCAGCGCTCTTGTATTTAGTAACAACTTCAGGGGAGGTGAGATCCAGCTCCTTCTCCTCTCTCTCGTCGTCAGACATCGTTTTCGAAGCTTATAAAAAATCAATTCAGTTCCTGAAAAAAAAAGTTGGAAAAGCCGTATTCGAAAATCAGTTGTAATTGAGAGCGAAGCAAGAGATTGAAAGGGATAATTGAGGTTGAGAGAGAAAGGAGCTCACTGGTTGATATTGGCGGCAGTCAGTGGAGGAGCTAGGGTTTTGGTGAGGTGATAAGAGATTAGAGAGTATATAAAATACAAATAAAAATAAATACCAAAAATGAAGGGAAAAGGAGAGAGCTAGGGTTACGGTCCTTACGGCAGCGTTTGCTTTGCATTGGAAATTTTGCTTATAGTCTCAGCCGGTAGGGTTTTGTAAATTGTTGTATTTTTGTGTGTGGTGTGCGGTAAATATAGTGACAAATGTCTAAACACTCCTCCCAACTTTTTTGTGCAATCACTTTGACCCCCTCCATTTTCAAATTTCAATTGTAAACTAAAAATAAAAAAACACGTATAAACAAAAATAGCATTTAATTTTAGGCTGAATAAGCAGTGAAGTTGTCATGTTTTGGGAAATTTGGGGCTTTTTGGAAACTGCTGATTTCTGTTCCAAGGACTCAACAGGCCCATAAAACGAGCCCATTTAGTGGCCCATACTCTGTATTTTTACGTTATCAAATAGAGCTGAAGGCCCGCTTAACCGTGACCTTCAAATGTGCAGAAAAGCGTCTTTGTTTTGAAATAAGGATTAAATAGGAATCTAGGATGGCAAAAAGGAGCGACAATTAAGGTTTAAGAGCAGGCATACTTTTTTTGGGTCGAAAGAGCAAGCGTACCTGTTTTAAATGAAAATATACTCGAGAGGTGGATTCTATTAGTGAATCTCATACCAATTAGTAACTTGCTAGAGCACTCAAATCCTTCCGCAATTATAAGTGCTTAAAAGTAAAGAAACAGAGATTTTGCAAGCTATGATATTAAAATAGACACATTTTCAATTTTGTAATCAACTAAAGAGCATACGAGAAAGTGTTTTTATTTTTTCTCGAAAGATCTGATCAGAAGGGTTGGGATCCCAAATAAATTACTAGAAATAATACTAAATTTACTACTTCAAGCCTTGGACTCGTGTCAATTGGCTTTGCATCCAAAATAAGTTTTGACAGACTAAGTACGTGCGTGTCATTGGAACATGGCTTCATTGCTCCTCCTTCGCCGCGTCTATTCCCTTACGTGTCCCGCTTTCGTTGATCGTCTCCGTCGCTCAACTTCATAGCTTGCCTCTATATAAAGCGCTCTTCAATTCTCTATTTTGTGTCAGCGTTAGCCAGCTTGTATGTATTTTTACGTGAATTCAACTCGTGTAGGCTTGTGTCAATTTCCAAGCTGTGTTAAAGAAAGCAGCAAAGCACCACCCAGAAGAGCGAAAGTGATCATGGCCTCACAACAGAAAAGAGAGGAACTTGACGCTAGGGCAAGGCAGGGAGAGACTGTTGTTCCCGGTGGAACTGGTGGGAATAGTCTCGAAGCTCAAGAGCACCTTGCTGAAGGTACCATACCACGTCTCTCTACCCTTCTGTGTTCAATGCGTGCATTTGTTTGATTGATATTGTCCTATTCGTTTGGTACTTTCTTTCCATATATATGTGTTTTGTTGATGATGTTTTAGGGAGGAGCCGTGGAGGTCAGACAAGGAAGGAGCAATTGGGGAGAGAAGGGTACCGAGAGCTGGGGAGCAAGGGAGGCCAGACAAGGAAAGAGCAGATAGGAACTGAAGGGTACCAGGAAATGGGACGAAAAGGTGGACTCAGCACCACGGACAAATCAGGAGGTGAGCGTGCTGCTAAGGAAGGAATCGACATTGACGAATCCAAGTACAAAACTAGGAGCCGTAGCCCATAAGTCTCTGCCGCTACTCTGTTTGCCGGTGTCTGAGTCTTAGTGGTTTTCTAGTACTAAGTTTACTATTGTCAAGATCGTCTAGTATTTCTGCCTTTCTTTTTTTCCCTGTATGTTTGGGTAGCTTTTTCTTTTGGTTCTAGTGGTCGAGTGGCATGGCATGGTGCCCTAGAGGTTTTTACTTGTGCCGGCTACCTTGCTTTCTTGTATGCTTTGACAGCGTAATGAACTCTGTTTTTGGATAATATGTTGAAATGTTTTCACTTTCATATTCTGACATCCCACCAGCAGTAGCATCCTTTGGGAGGGGGGGGGGGGTTAAGAGTAGCGGCATTAACCGATCCTGCATAGAGGCAATTTTATTCTGAAAATTAGTTTTAGTATTTTCGAATAAACGTAGAAATCTCTGAATTCTGAAAGCTTAATTTCCATAAAAACCACCCCAAGTGAGGTTACTAGGAGTCTCATGCTTTATAACATGGGAGATAAGGTCGATTTTCACAACGTGCTTCCAAGTGAACCAAAAAAAAAAGCTTCATTGCCATTAGTAGGAACTTTTTTATAACACTTTTTTAGAGAATTCCCAAGACGAGGGGATATAAACAGAGTAGGCAAAAGGGAAAGAAAAAAAAACCAAAATTACACTAAAAATTTAAAATCGAGAAAATTGGCTGTCGTGGGAATAATTCGAAGAAGAACGCGCATGATGACAAGCCTTATTATCACGGGGAAACCAGGAAGGACTAGCCACTGGACGCGTGGAAGCTTACATAACTTAGATACTACATTTTGAGCAAACGCTACTTCATTCGGTAGCTTTTTTCGCCCGTCACAATTTACACTGTTCATCAGCTCGCTTTGATCCCTCATCGCTTTTCTTCCTCAGGCTGTCATATTTCATCAGTGGCTCATTGCTAACGCAGTCACCAGTAAACCAAGCACCAGAAATGGCTGTGCACTTGCCTGAAACACAAGAGCAAGACTCAACCTTCTATAAAAAACAAGAGAGGTCAGAAGCACAATATGCTTCTTAACTAGGCCATTACCAATGGTCTAAATTTAATTAAATTGCAATTCCTGTTTACCGTTTAGTCATTCATTATAAACTAACACGCTTCTTTGAAAATAACTTATTATTGATACAGACACTGTTTTACGGATTGGAATGCCTTGGGAATAAAGCTTTTTCTTACCCTCGGAAAACTATAATAAATGCCAAAAAAAGGAACATAAAAACACACAAGATTTATATTGGTCTCCATCCACTCACTCGTAACCGCCGCATTATTTTACTATAATCAAAGGAGATTACAAACATAAATATTACAAAAAATGATTCATGGGTGGAAGTCAATTCATGTTGCTCATTAATTATGGCCTTAGTTATAGTTAAATTCTTTCCTGTGTTCTAGTCACTTTAGTCAGTGAGCAATGGACTTGAAGTCCTAAGAAGATACCTGATACTTAACATCGTACTTAACAGGATCTTTTAGGAAGTATTGGAACTGCAGTGAACGGATTTCAGGTATGAGCATTGATCTCTTAGAAGGTAAGAAAGGGACTTTAGTTTCTACAATGTACCAAGAAATTGTTCTACCTGAAACACAACTTGTGGAACTATCAAAGCAAGTAGGGCGAGCGCATAATATGGCTTACCAGCCCCTAGAAGATAACCTGCAACCACCATTAGCATATTTTGTGAGCTGTTAATTTTCACCATGGAAGATGCATTGAATTTCCTAATCTACTGATATAAATTCCAGTGGCATACCAGCTACAGATATTTGAGTTATGTCAATAGCACCGACACAAATCCATTTAGCAGTTTCAGCACCAAAGGCTACAGGAAGTGACTGCTCAAGCATTATTAGCATACAACTATCAACTCGACTTCTTCCAAGGATAATGCAAACAATATATTCAAATAAAGAAAGGAGTCTGCAGAACTAATATATAGTCCAAAAGAGTTAACTACTACTACTAATAATAAAGAGAGAAGACCTGTAATCCTAGAGCTTTGTCTCCTTCTATACTTTTGAAGTCATTAACAATGGCGATACCCAACTGCAAAGTGATACAGCAAAAACTTGTTACAGGTCAAATCATATACCTCAAGCATAAACAAGAATGAGACATGATGGAAAATACATACCCCAGCTATGCTGTATATGAGTGTGAGGACAATTATGTCTGGTGTAAGGGTTCCAAACAAAGCTTGACCAGCCCACCTATTAACAAATTTTGGACCAAAACTTGTCAGACAACTAGTGAAAGTCCAAAACGTAGGTCAAAGACTTCAGGACATAACCAAACAGGAAATAAGTCAACGTTTGAGATTATTCTACATAAGGGTTTGAACCTAATAGACCAGCCCTCCAAAGGGTATTTCAATCAATGGAAAAGGAACCACATAGGAGTCCAATTTATGTTGTAATAGAATGATCTGTGCGTGTGGGAAATTAGCAATGACTTCAAAATCATAAAGGGGAAAAAGGACTAAATGTTGGCTCTTGTTACATGAATAATATTATAGGCCCTTCAATTTTCACATCATTATCAAGGATAAAAATTATTTGTCAGATTACAATCAATCTTAACAAGCCCTAGAGAATATTTATAAAGCATATCCTGAGTATCCTCCAAAAAGCAGCAAAAAAGATGATATCACACCACGGCAAACTGATATAGCTTGCTCCAAGAGCAAAATTTCCGATCCAGCCATTTTGTTTCAACTGCAAAATATTTGGAATTTTGTTAGATCTAAGCAGATTTTCTTCCATAAGAAGAAAGAAAGTAGATTGCCATAGACAGCAGACAAGTAGTAAACTACCTTTAAAGGAGGAGCAGAGTATATGTACGATAGCAAGGATCCTCCCAAAGCAAGGTAAAATAAAATCGGGAAGTCATGTCCTGCCTACAAAGAAGGATTAGAACTGCTTCCATCTTTGCATATCTTTTACCTACCCATTTGAAATTATTTGAAATTACCTACCCATACGTCTAGTAAAGCAGCTATGCCAAGGCCTCCTAAGAGTAGCAACCAGATTTGGCTAATAACCTGCATGAAGTTTTTAATGAATATCAATTCCATCATGTACACAACACAATTAGTTACTGTACACACCTCATTCTCAGGTATTGCCCCTGAAGGAATCGGACGATAAGGCTCATTAATTGCATCAATCTCTCTATCATACCAGTCATTGAGAGTCTGAAAAGGTAAAATAGCCCAATAAATTTGCTTTACTCAGATTGAAGCTCTTGATCACTTCAAAAATCAAGACACAACTTTAACGATAAGGGTTTATACCTGAGTATAGCCTGTGAGACATGGACCTGACATTATCATGCAAAGAATTGATTTGGCAACATCCTCCAAATTCCAGTGGAAGTTTCCTGCAATTTATAAAATTATTTCTGGCGGTCCTCTAGTTACTTCTGAAACTCATTCATTCAACTTCTAAACTAATTAAGTTCAGGGACACAAATACATTCATGAATGAAAGTGATTTGGACACAACTAACAATCACCAATATTTAAGATATGCAGGCACTAGATATCTAAATATCATGAAACTTCCACACAATTTCTCGTGTAGTTTAATTCTTATGTGCATAAATAAGAGGATATTTCCCAACAGTGGATGTGAACAAATTTAGTTAGAGATCAAAGTACCTGAAGCAGCAGCTCCACAAACTACTCCCCATACCAATGGAGGCCAAGTAACTGGCTTTGTAAGTTGTAGACGAATCTTCCATTTATTCTGCACCATATATAACACCAAGTCAAATAATAGTTCTGATATAAGAAGTACAGCTTCAGACGTTTCTAGAGAAGTAAGGCAAAATTTCCCATGACGATTCCCCTTTCTTCTAGCTCCGTCTAAATTGGGTAAACATTCAACTTTCATGCCAATTTGCAAGCTTCAGCTAGTGAGTGCATACATATACATAATTTAGTCCACAATAATTTTATCAGCAACGCAGCTCTGCAACTAAGAACTTGCTCTTCTTTAAGTTGACCTCTAAATTCGAATTGCGTTTATAGATTATAAATGGAGCAGGAATAATAAAAAATTAAAAATTTGAGAGTACCAACGAGAAAAAAAAAATAGAAAACGGTTCTGTATATAGAGGATTACAGTTTCTTGAGCAGCTCCTTTGATACCAAGAAGTTGGTTGATGCTTGACCCACCACTGGCGGGTGCCTTATACGGTGCCTTAGATTTCGCTGCCAAAAGAACACAAATATCCCTGATGAAAAAAAAAAATCTAATTGACAAGGTTATATAATTAAAAAAAAATTAAAAGGCTAAAAAAAACCTTCATTTGTATCAGTGTCCGCCGCCCTCACAATCAATCTCCGTCCTAAAAAAATAATAATAAAGACTCTTTTACAGTATTAAAAGTGAGAAAATTGAAAAATTAAATTAATTAAGTTCGAAAAACTATAATAGAAATTTAGTTTCATCGATGAGAAGGCAATGAAAAATTGAAAGGATAAGACCTCAAAATTAACTATTGTTTAAAGATACGAGTAAAAATAAGCAGGAGCGAGTTAACTCACTGGTGAAAGAGACAGAAGCGGAAGTTAAATTGGAGTGGGTTGGGGCTTGGAGGTGATTGTTGTTGTAGATTCTGGATAGGCTTAAGGAGGAGAAAGTGTTGAGTACAGACGACATTGAAGCGATTTAGCTTTTCTCTCCCTTTGAAGCTCAAAGAAAAGGGAAGAAGCCAGCGGGTAGAGCCGTAGAGAGTTGAGTTTGAAGGATTTCTGGTGTAGCTGATAACCCAACTCCCGACTGCATATAAAATTTGAAGGAGAGGAAAGAGAGGCTTTACGGTGCGAACAAGACTACCATTTTCATCATGTCACCATTATTGCCTAAAGCCAGTAGTTTTTTTTTTTAATTTTAACTCCAAAATTAAAAGTCCAATATCGACCGTAATCTTCTGATTGGCCAAAAAAATCCACAACTTGACACTCTATAATTCAAGCCTCATTCTGAAATATTAAGGACAAAAAAAAGTTAAATATAGTCCAATTAACGTGAAAAACAATATAATACCGATTTGAAGTTTGTGAAGTGGGGGCCTTGTTTTAAATTAGGACAAACAACTTTAACTTAAAAGAAAAGGCCACTAGGGTGCCTTTGAAGGTTGGCTTTTAACCTGCGAAGCCCTGCTCTATGACACCGACTGACTATAATACATGAAGCAAACAAATAAAGCGCTTGCTTAAGCATGTCATGATGTCAAAGTATGAATCTCAAAACATATTTAGTCTAAAGAAATTAAGAAATATGATTAAGAATTTGACATCTTAGCGATGGCGTACCAACTTAAAATTGATTTAATCCTAAGTTTTGATTGTGGACTTAAAACTTAAGGCATTGATGGATAAAAAAAAAAAGGTGACAAATTAAAAGAGATAAAAAAAAAAAAAGGTTAAAAGATAAAAATATATATTATTTTTTATTGGTGTGTTTGGTTAGAAAGATGATAAAGTTAAAAGAAAATATAATTTTTATTTATTTATTATGGGTAAAGTTGGAAAAAACAAAGAAAATAAAAATTATATGATTTATCATTATAATTTTTTGTAAATTAAAATTTCAAAAATCTAAATTTGACCAATAATTTTGTAAATATGCAACATATGCTCATATCCTCTCATTTTCTCTTTTTTTTTTTTTGAGTGATTTATTTTTATTAATAAGTCTGAAAAATGGTAATCTTTGTTATTTTCTTTTCTTTTATTTTTTTATCAAACACAATTAAAATTCATTTTCTTTTTACATTTTTTACTCTCCCCTATCCATCTTTCTAACTTTTCGACTCCATGGAGGAAATTGGTTAAAGTGCACCAATTATGCCAATTGCCAAGCATTAAGATAAAAGAATAAGATCCACGAAATCAGAATGTGTTGCTCTATACTTCTATTGCATTACTAAGAAATTACAGAATTAATTGTTAACCCAATCAGAATAAATTGGGCTGAGATTGGGTTTGACTGATCCCTTTAAAGGCCTGGAAGCTGACAATGGCCATGTGGCCAGATGGAGCCCAAAGGTTCGGAGAAGTACATCTGTACAGAACTTAATGGGGTGGGTTCAGTGCAACCTTAGTTGAGTCCAAACGAACACAAGCACACCGATTCCGGGCCGTTGGGGCCCCAAATTACTAGCGAGAAAAAACTGTTTTCAATCTTATCCTCAAATTTAAAAAAGTTGTAACAAAAAAATTATCACGATTGTTTATGGAATTACATGAGTTGGTCAAGTAAAGGGATAAAATGTAACTTTGAGCAAACATCTTAAACTTAAAAAAATTGAAGCTTGTACATTTTTTTTTAATCCTTATTATAATTATATTGCAAAGTAATGTTTAGCTGTGGAGCATCCTGTTTGGAACATTCTAAAAACTATTCGGTATATCCTAAAGCGCACGATGCATGTCACTGCATTTTTAAACCTTGGGTGGTTTTCACCTTTCATAGTTATGCTAAAAAATACTATAATTTTTATTTACAGCCTTTCCAGAAATTTAAAAAGAAGAATATCACTACAAAGGCGTTTGTGCCCCCACTAACTCTCCTTTATATTGCTGAAATCTGTCGATAAGAGCATTTGGATTTTGTGATTATATTAAACAAAAACTCAGAAAAAGATAGATGTGATGTCTATGATTAAGTTATGCATTAAAATATAGTTTGAGGTTGCTGTTGCAGATTCTTAGCAAGATCTCAACAGATTATAGTAATTTTAATGTCATTTTCTTTTGGGTACAAATTTTTAAAGTCATTGATTAGCAATCTTTTGAATAATTGCTGATAATGGCCGGATCACCTTTGTCTTAAAAATTAAAATAGACAAATTTAGTCCTTTCAACATTCACTGGAGGATAAGAAATTGGTCTGAAAGCTCATAGAGCTCTTTCCATTGGACTCGAAACTTAATGGTCTCTCTTTTGTTTTGGCCCGAGACAGAAGCTTATATCTCCCATGCCTGATTAAGCAGGGCAAAAAGATGATTTTGGCATTGTCAAGGCAGTCCTTGGAGTTGCATGCCATGGCAACCTTCTTTGTTTAAGCTAAGACGCTCTACTTGTATCCACTATTGCTCCTGCAACAATTGTTTGTATTTTTCTCTTGCTTTATGGATTATTATACCTGTTAAAGTTCCCTCTATGCGACTATCCCATCTGTTTTATTTTATCTTCCATCTTCAACCTAATCTAATATAAAATTATTCTTGCAGCTGAATGGAATGTGATTCCTGATTCCACCAAACAGCAACAGGCTTTTGCTTCCATTGATGCCGTTGTCATTTGCCAACATAAGAGAAACCTAGAAAAAGAATATTATGGGAGTTCTCCTTTGCGAAAAACTAAATTTGGCAAATGTTGGCACACAGAACAAAAAGATCATCAATAACTACGTCGGGTGTAGGTTGAGATGGGAGCATATATTTGAAAACCCTAGTTCAGGTTTAGCTCACCAACAATTATTTTCGAGGGGAAAATGTGTGGACAACTGCTTATCAAAGATTTTATTATTTCATCCAATAATTCATAACTTGTCTATATGATGAAAAAAACCACAAAAAATATTTTTTATAGTACTCGCCTTCACATATTTGTGCAGGCTTTAACCATACAGTTACATAGAAATTGCACATGGGTAATAATAATAATGTGGACCTGAAGATGTTCACAAATTGCAACCAATAGCATGGGTTATTAGAGAAGTCTCAAAGATTCCCCCAAGCCGAAGCGTTCAATGCCTAAAAACAGTAACTTTCTTTCAATATCTATCACGCTAATAAAAAAGACTGAAACCAGTCTCACAAGATATGTATATATATATATAAGGTTATAAAATTTTTTAAAGCAATAATAAAAGGTTGTCAACTTCTGATAATCCTTTCCGAATAAAACAAAGAGGCAAAACAGCACAATATCTGTAAAACTCCAATCTGACATGTAATGTGGAAAACCACGTCACCTCGTTGCTGTAAAATCACATTCATAGCCAATTAAGTAATTAAATGATTGCAAAATGTCTAAAGGTATATATTAAATATATTATCGATGTATAAATTTTATATATTATTATTAAATTAAATTAAATGATATTATTTATAAGTAAATTTTTTTTAAAAAAATAAACTTTTATATATTTATTTTAATAATTAATATTTATTTATTAATAAAATAATATTATTTAATTCATTATCAATATATAAAATTTATAAACTATCAATATATTAAATATATAAACTTAATGTCTAAAGTTCCAAGCTTCCAAAGCCTTAATTCGTTTGTATCTGCAACGGTCCCCAGCTGTACGATCCATTTTAATTGATCCAGATGTAAAGAGCACCTCATTTTGCTAATCGTTTTCAGGTCGGAAAAATGTCTCTAGTAAGTTCATTTCTTATGGCATCGATTTACTCCTCCATGTATCAGACGTAATAATTTAGACTTTATATTAATTAGAACGAATTTCATTTATAAATTCATTTCACGAATGATTTTAATGATCAGGTATAATAAACAAAACAAAAAAAAACCTATATCGCATATATCTTGTCAACGGATGTGCACTTGCAAAAAATAGTGTGATTTAAAGCAATATTTTCATGTGGCATAAATGGTAGTGATGATGTGGAGTACATGATTCATTATTGTTCTATCAAATATATGTGTGGATATATGTGATATATATGTTATTATATAAATGTATGTATAGGATATGCAAATATAGAAGAGATAAGAGAGATTTTTGTCCTTTTGTCCCTATTCATGGACCATATATATCTAAGTTAAAAATGATGGGTCACCAGAATCATTATCAGCGACAAGTCCAAATGGAATGCACTGGTGATGTATTGTATTTTCCTAGTCAGTCACAACTTCACAGGCTAACTTAGGTAGGACGCTGTTCAGTTTGCTTAATTAATTGTATATAAGAGCCACAAGCACCATTATGGCAGGGGTTGGTTCAACTTTCACCATTTGGCTTGAAGCAGAGGTAAGGGGATAGGAACCTCTGTAGAGATGGCGGCTCAATCCATTTTTTATGAGTTTTGATTCTGATTTTATAAGATTTTTTTTTAAAATTAAATTTTTGATCGAATTGAATAATAGCGATAAAAAATCAAGATTGAACTTTAAGTAAATTTATTTTAATCCAACTTGATATATATATATAATTATTTTTAAATTATTTATTGATATATTTATTTATAATTATTTAATTTTATATTAAAAATAATATTTTATTAATTTTAGATTATATATAATTTTATATAATATCAAATTAAATTAAATTCAAATATTATAAATATAATTAAATTAAATTCAAAACGAATAAAAATTCATTATGCTTTAATCCGTTATTATGGTTATTATCACTATGACTAGTCATTTTTACATATAATCTTGAAATTTGACAAATTCAATATTTTTTATTGGACGCCTGTCTGTCTCAATAATTCTATTCCTGGTTCAACTTATGTCATCATCCTGCATTCACACTCCTTTATTTTTCATGCAAACCTAATCCTATGAGAAATCATGCGTTTCACAAAGCAATTTTTGCTGTATATATTTATCCATATTAATTAGTTCTGTTTATACAGTATTAATCAGTTATTAACTGAAAAAATGAACAATGGTGTGAAATTGGTAAAGAGAAAGTTGAAGAAGCAACGCATATTTTTTGTATATATATTATATTAATTTTTAAGGAACCGTATGGAGGGATTCCAATATTAATTCAGACCTCAACCGTCCATCAAAACACCGTATATCAAACCTAAATTGTTGAAGCTAAGAATATTTGGTTTGTCCACACAGAATCTCCTTTCAAGAAAGCACTTCTAGCATTTTATATATTGGTATGAACTTAAAGTACGTGAGATTCCCCTCACTTTCCATGCACGAATTTGATAACTGGAAGCCTTTTAAGAGTTAATGCTTACAAAATTCCAACCTACCCTAGCTAGTGTTGCATTAAGATAAGGAAGTTAATTTTAATATAAAAATAAATAAGCCACACATTCTCCACTATAAAAGCACAGTATATGCTATTGATGCATATTTTAATCTCTTATGTAAATTTGTATATTTATTTTATGTTAAATATATATAAAATATAAAAATTATTATGTTATAATTCGTATCAATGTATTATATATAAAATATATTTTTTATTTTTATCAAATCAAATATAATTTTTATTAAAATTTTAAACTGTAATTTTTATTTATTTATATTTTATTTTCATATTGAGATTAAAATTATCATAATGTACACGCATATTTATGTGACTATATATTATATGTACATATATGAAGCTTATCCCTAAAATAAAGGCATCCCCTTTGGTATTTTGTCCTTTCCGATCATGTTAAGTTTACAATTTCAAATTTGCTAACTTTAGTCAAATTGTCAATCACCATCAATTTCGGTAAACAAACAGAACTCATTTATATTGGCTTAATACTGTTAATCACTAAAGTCAAGTTAATATTGGTTTTTCTGGTCTAACTTTGGTTTTGGCTTGTCACTTCTGTGGATTCAGATAGTAGTAAATTAGCACTAACCCATATTTTTGGATGTTTAACTTATAATAATATTAGAAAATGGAATTTATTTTTCTTGTGAAACCTCAAATACAACAGGAGTAACAGTTGAAAAAAATGTGCATGATACATATCACGTTATAACAGTAATCTATTGATGCGCGAGTATTACTATTTCTGGATTTTGTTGTCTGTTTCCCAGCCTAAAGAAATCCCTTCAATCAATCAAGCTATTGTTATGTCTGAGCTGATGAGCTGGCCACGCCATGAATGATATTATCATTTCCGAGTAGTACAAAAGCTTTCAAACCCCACAACATTCTGTATTGCCGAATGGTAAGGGGACCAAATGTTGTGAATTTTGATGAGAGTAAACGATAATGTTTTGTTCCTTTTCTTAGCATTGTTTTCATATACAACTAGTATTGTATTTGTTGAATATCGATGCTTCAGACTTGAGAGGGGGGAAAATAATATGTTTATTTTGTTGATAATTAATCGACCAGAAGTATAATATATAACATATATATATTTTTTGCTTAGATTAGGATAATTAATTAATATAAATTAATTGATATATTAACAATAAAAATTTTTTATTTCATAAAAGAAATTAAAATGTGATGATATATGTCCTTTAATATATTTTTTAAAAATTAAAAAAAAATTAAAAATGAGACATTTGCATGTCATTATTTTAATTTCGTTTATGAAATTAAAAAATTTTACTACTAATATATTATATAATTTCTCATTAATTAATGATAATAAACATCATGTTTTTTTTTTCTTTTTTGATATTTAAGTTTGACAATTTTTAAAATTTAATTATTGAAATTAAAAATTTAATAGATTATTAGCAGGTCTTGACAATATTATTATGTTTTCTTTTGCTTAATATGGTGCTTTTATTATATTATTTTTCAGCAGTATGTAACTCAATTGTAAAATCAAAGTATTTTAGTTGATATTTTAGACTTAAACGTCTTTCAAACATAAACGTCAAGCAAATGACTTAATTATATCTTTTGCTACTAACTTATTTCAGTAAACTTTATTATATTAACTTTTTGTTTTTTAGGAATCAAAAGTATGTTAATTTCATTTTTTTTAATGTAAAAAATCCACTATAATGATGACCACTATTTATGTCATTTCTTGTAACATACTATTTATGTCAATGCAACAAAACAGCCCCATTTCTTGCGTGCTGCTGCTGCTCGGCATGTGCCCCTGTTTTTTCGGATAACGAAAGCGACCCACGATCCACACTTCCTTTTACACGAATTCTCCACCCCACACTGGGCTCCAGCCCTACTTACTCAAACAGGACAAGCTTCCCCCTCCCTAACTTTTTTTTTTAATAGAGTATAATTTTTTAGGTTTTTTTAAAATTTTATTTTTAATAATTTTAAGAGTATATATTTTTATATTATTTTTGTGTATTTAAGATTTTGTTTTAAAATATTTTTCGCAATGATTGACTCCAAATTTAAGAAAATAAAAAAAGTAAAACTATTTTTTTTATAAATTGAATTATTTAAAAAAAAAAAGTTAGAAGTATATGACAAGTTGAACCACAACAAGGTATCAGTTGGGGCGGGAGGAAACTACTTCAATTTTGAACTATTGCACACCAATTCATAAAATAGAAAAATAGTATTGAGGTGTAGCTTATTCTTAACAAATTTTATTGCAGTGGTTTGAAATGAGATAAGATCTAAGCAACAAAAAGTTGAGTGGTACCAACTAATTTAATTTTAATATTATATCTCGAAGTACTCAATGATTGTATGGATGATTATATTAAATAGGCTTTCAACAAAAGATAGATTGAGGAATTAAAGAATGAAGGTGAATGAAATATATTGCCTATGTCAACATGGGAGGGAATCTAGAGATCACCTATTTTTTGGTTCTGAATATGCAAAGTGTAGAGAAGGGTATTGCAATCATGCAACATTGACAAAGTAGTCGGGAAGTGAATTGAAGAATTGAAATGGGTAGTGATCAGGATAAAAGGCAAGGCGTTGATATCAGTAGTATTGTGCATTGCTTGGAATGCTCATATTTACTATATATGAAAAGAAAGAAATCATAGATTATTCAAGAATAAAAAAGAAACAGAAGAATAAGTGTATGAGCTAATTAAAGAAGTTATTGGAACTCGATTATATGAATTGCATTCGATTATTGCTGACCTAGTCAACAAGATTTATGTGATACGTGGAATATAAATAAAATTATATTACATAATAGTTAGAATATGATTGGATTATATATATGAAATGTATGTATTGTAGCAATTTTATTGCTTCTTTTGTATAAAAAAAATATAATTTATAAAAAAAAATTAATTTTTCTTTTTGTGAGTATCATCTTTGTTATTATTAAAATACAAAATTTAATACCATTAACTATTCAATTAAACATATACTAACAATTCGAACTTCTCTTTCCCTTTTTCTTCTCATTTTAAGTTGGTGCTTTGCTAAAATTTGTTAGGCTCATTAAGAAAAAAAAATATAAAACCGAAACTTATAAAAGAGGAGAACTTTGTGGGCAAGAAAAAAGGAGTTTTATTTATCCATTTTTTAAGCTTTAAATTCCAATTATTGGGATCCAAGATCTGTTACTTATAGCAATTCATTTGACTAAGAAACTAAATCAGAGGATCAAATGATGAATTATAAGAAAAAAAAAATGAAGTAGTGGAATATATCAATTTAAAAACATTCAACTTGCTTACTAAAAAATAATTAAAATTTATCTGTCGCTTATCACGAGTATTGTAACACTTTGCTCATACTTTAGAATAATTACATTCTTGAGTCGTGATTATCATTGTAATAACTTTTAATTAAATTAATCCAAATTATTAATAAGTAAATAATTGAAAGGGCAAAAGCAATGAGCACATTTAAATTTTTTTGTTTACCACTATAAAAGGTAGGGTGAGGGTTATAAAGAAAACGGGAAGAAGAGAACGAGAATATCTTATTACTAGGCGTTTTAATAGTAAGTATATTTTTGCCCTATAAATAGAGGAAGAAGCCTACCTTGTCACGAATACAGAAGAGCTTTCCTCTCTGTTCTCTTCATTCACCAAAGACTGTTGAGTTTCAGTTGGTTTTTGGTTTGTTCATTTCCTTCTGCTCTCTCTGTTTCTCTTTGTTTGGTAGTAGATTTCGAAAGTGTGAAGGAACGTGAGAGAAAAAAAGCTTCTGGAGTTATTGATGGGCAAGTACACTGTGCATCTTGCGATGGCGGCTCTCGTTGGAGCTTCGTTGGTGGCCGTGTCGGCGTATTATATGCACAGGAAAACCCTAAGTCAGTTGCTGGAGTTCGCCAAGACCGTGGAGAGGGAGAGGGAGGATATTTCGGAGGGAGAGTCGCCGCAGCACTCCAAGAGACGTCGCAGCTACCACTCGCGCCGCAAGGGGAAAGGATATTACCGGCGTGGCTCGGCGTCTATGCCGGATGTTACTGTGATGTCGGTCGGGAGTGGTGGAGAAGAGAAACGCAACGGTCCTATCTATGTCGACGGGATTCCCCCCGGGTTGCCGAGGCTTCATACGCTGCCTGACGGTAAACTTGGGATTTGAAATCAAGCGTTTTGATGAGTTATTGAATAACATAAGTGTACAGCAATAGCCTGCTGCTTTGTTGATAAAATTTTGCACATTGCAGAAAATTAGCACCTTGGAAACGTGTTTTCTTTGTATATTTCTCTATTTTCTTATGAGGGACCGGAGTTATCATTTATCAGATTGATTCAAAAATGCTGATTTTTGTTACCTTTAGTGAAGGAAAACGTGGAAATAGAGTTGCAGCTTAAAATGAAATGAAAAGACAGCAACTCCGAACCTGTAGGCAGGAGTTAAGAGTACTTTTGTACGGAAGTACTTCAGGGGAGGATCAGCCTTGTTTTCTAGAGAATCTGACTCGAAATTTGGCTGACCTGCCGGAACCTGAAGTTCATCAGCAATCAAGATATGTGAAGATCATTAATCACTTGTAAAAAATGAAATATAAAACAATTAAGAGCTTCGTTTTTGTCATTTAAGATTGTTGGCTGCGTCTCTTTGCGACTTTAAAACAACTTTCACTCAGAAGAAAGTTCCAGTTTTAGGGCTTGGAAGGAAAAAGATGTGTCCTGAGGTTTTTTTTTTTTTAATCTTTCTACATTTTGTTGTGTCAATGTGTTTTCTGACTAGACAGTAGTTATTTTGGCTTCAGGGAAGTCTGGTTCTAAGAGATCTGGAAGTCTTATCCGACCTACTTCTACCAAGTCCCCTGTTGCTAGTGCAAGTGCCTTTGAGAGCGTAGAAGGATCAGATGATGAAGATAATGTGACTGAAAATTCTAAGATAGACACTACATATCTGCATACTAATGGAAATGCTGTGAGTCAACTTTGTTCCCTTCTCCTATAGTTGTTGCTTGTGAGATGCTTTTATAATCTGTTGGTAATTTAATCAAACTACTGAGCTATACTTAAATCTGACATGTGTAGGGCTCAAATTTGCCAGACCACATTAACGCCAATGGAGAGGCAATGCAGATAGCTGCTTCAAGCATGATTCGATCCCATAGCGTATCTGGTGACCTCCATGGTGTTCAGCCTGATCCTATTGCAGCTGATATCCTAAGGAAAGAGCCAGAGCAAGAAACTTTTGCACGACTTAAAATTTCACCTACTGGTATCAAGTCTCTCTAATTTATACTATCTTAGGCTTGTATGTAATAGGTCTGCCGGTCATAATGTCTATTATTGCTTCATATACCACTTTCACCATTGTTTGTATCCTAATGCTTAAATCACGTGCGCATATAATTTTTGAACATTTTAAATGTTTAGCAATTTATTTAACATAAAAATGCTAACGTTCAATGTAGACCTAAAAGGCTAAAATCTATTCCTGTATTATTTATTAGAACATGGTAATCTTTCTTTTAGAAAATATAGGCTGTTAAACGGTTGTTTAGTGCTTGACTATCAGTCTAAAATCATGTATGTGTTTATTCCCTTGTTTGAAAATTTGCAAGGTATAGGGCTGTAAGTTTAAGGATATGATATTAGATTTTGCATGTATGATTTGCTAATCTAGTTCTCATCTTCTACTCAATACTAGAGGTACCATCTCCGGATGAAGTTGAGGCCTATGTAGTTCTGCAGGAATGCCTAGAAATGCGGAAAAGATATGTATTCAAAGAGGCAGTTGCTCCTTGGGACAAAGAAGTAATATCGGACCCCAGTACACCAAAACCTAATCCGGAGCCATTTTTTTTTGCTCCTGAGGGAAAATCTGATGTAAGTTTATACTTGCAATCCTAGATTCTGTACTACAAGTCACTTCTATTTACTCATTCTTCCTTAGGGTTTTGCAGCATTTTTTTGAGATGCAAGATGGAGTAATACATGTCTATGCAAATAAAGACTGTAAGCGTTAACAGGCCTGATACTGAACTTTCTTACTTGCGATGATCTTAACCACTCTCTTGCTAACGCATTTTCATTTTTTTTTCTGTTTTATTTCAGCGAAGTTAGAGCTCTTTCCTGTAGCTGATGCAACAACCTTTTTCACTGACTTGCATCACATACTTCGTGTTATAGCGGCAGGGAATATCAGGACTTTATGTCATCACCGGCTAAATCTTCTGGAACAAGTAAATGTTTCTCCCTTTTTATGAAGTGCATGCTAATTTTGTAATTTCCGATATTTGCTTTTAAAATACTTTTTCATTTTGATTCCATTCAGAAATTCAATCTTCATTTGATGCTTAATTCGGATAGAGAATTTCTAGCTCAGAAAAGTGCACCACATAGGGACTTCTATAATGTGAGGAAAGTTGATACTCATGTTCATCACTCAGCATGCATGAACCAGAAACATCTTTTGAGGTTTATAAAGTGGAAGTTGAAGATGGAGCCAGATGAGGTAACTTTTATTATTGTTGATGTCTATTGTGTGTTTTTCCAAGTTTTTAATATTAATGACAGCTAAAATTGCTGTTCTCCTTTTAAAATTGAGTTCTTTCCAAGTTCATGCATTTACACTATGATTTGGCCATTCTTCACTGGAAGGGGTTCTTAGGTGCTATCTAAATATTTGTTTTGTGCCCACTCTTGCAAATTGAGACCCTTTTTTATACTCCCTCTAATATGGAAGTTGCACACAAGCTCATTTGTTTGGTTTGACCAATTATAACTACATATGTAATGTAGGAATATCCTCCTTGCTTTGTGCAAAAGGTTTGTGAAAATGGTGCATTTGAAGAAACATTTTTACCCAAAAGTTGTGATTACCATATTCTTTCTTTATTCAGGTTGTAATATTTCGAGATGGGACGTATTTGACCTTGAAAGAAGTTTTTGAGAGCTTGGATTTAACTGGGTATTGACTTTTTATTTTTCCTATCTTGCTAAAAAGGGAAAGGGGGGGGGGGTGATTATGCAACTAATTAATTCATTTTTGCTTTCATTTCAGCAGGCATGATTTAAATGTGGACCTTCTTGATGTTCATGCAGACAAGAGTACCTTTCATCGCTTTGATAAATTTAATCTTAAGTATAATCCCTGTGGTCAAAGTAGGCTCAGGGAGATTTTCCTCGAGCAGGATAATCTTATCCAAGGTATGTCCTTTATATTTCCTTGATTTTGAGGACAAAGGAATATTTTGTTAAGATAACATTGAAATAAGCAATTAATTGTCATTAATTTGTTAAGGCAAGTGTTTGTTTGAAATATGTATTAAGATTCTGAAATGGTGCTGAGTCTTCTATCTACAGTCCTTCCAATCTTTATTTGAATGAACCATCGGTGTCTCTTCATATCTGTGCATTATTATATTTATAAGGTGCTGTTCTGATTCTTTTACCATAAACATGATTCCATGTCTTTGGCTTTTTTTTTATTGATTTATTGCTTTGAAAGAATCCTTTCTTCCTGGTAATTGTTATTGTGAAATTAAAGTCAGACTATTGTATCTCTGCAGGTCGATTCCTTGGTGAGCTGACAAAACAAGTGTTTTCTGATCTTGCTGCAAGCAAATATCAGGTACTTCCTTATTCTGTGCACGAATACATTTTATCCCTGAGAATAAATTCTGCTCTGGCATTTCAGACTTGAAAACAGAACTTAAGAGCGCTTGAGTACAGTAGCGGATCCAGGATTCTTTTTCGAGGGTGTCCACTTACAATATATATAAAAAAATGCTGACAGATTTACTAATTTTTTCAATGGAAGGGTGTCCAGCCGAAAATTCTCCTTCAAATTTTCTTATTTTCCAATTTTTGGGGGTGTCGACTTGTGGATCCGCCAGTGCTTGAGTAGAACCATTGTATGGAGGAAGATTCTTTAATAAATTTGCTTAACATGTTTTACTTCATTCTTTGAGGAGCTATATGTAATCAATGAACCAAATTATGGAATCCTAGTGTTTGCTTTTGATAATATGGATCAGGATGCTCCCTCTCTTTTAAACAAACCAAACCATGTTTTCTGGATTTTACGTTGTTTTGATGGTCAATTTGATTGCACAGATGGCTGAATACAGAATATCAATATATGGCAGGAAGCAAAGTGAGTGGGACCAACTGGCTAGTTGGATCGTTAACAATGAATTGTACAGCGAGAATGTTGTTTGGTTAATCCAGGTGCTAATCACCCCTCTTTGAAATCTCAGTACTTGTGCACTAATTTCTTTTGTGATATATCTTGTGAACCTATAGAAAGTCCATTATTGGTCGTGGATTAGAACCTTTATAAAATAGGACACTGACTCCACTAAAGAAAATGGTTGAATGTTGGAAAGGGCTATTTCTTAGTCCTGATTATGTGACATTTTCACTATTTTTGCTTCAGATCCCTCGCCTTTACAAAATTTACAAGGAGATGGGGATTGTTACATCATTTCAGAACATTCTGGACAACATCTTTATTCCTCTGTTTGAGGTTACCGTGGATCCAGATTCACATCCTCAGTTACATGTTTTCTTGAAACAGGTTTGGTATCTTCATTCATAAGTCTTTTTTTTTTCTTTTTATTTGCAACGATTTTGTTTGGATTAATTGTGCCTTTGCGTTGTTCTCCATGACATCTGCTTCTTGTTGGCAATTCAGGTTGTAGGGTTGGATTTGGTAGATGATGAAAGTAAGCCTGAAAGACGCCCCACAAAGCACATGCCTACACCAGATCAATGGACTAACGTATTTAATCCTGCATTCTCCTATTATGTGTATTACTGCTATGCAAACCTCTATAACTTAAACAAGGTATGTATTATATAATTGGATATGGTTCTATCTAGACTAGATTTGGTGACCTTTATCTGTCTTTCTATTTCAACATTGCCTTCATAGTATTTTTTTTTTTTTTTAAATAAATGAACTTGTTAGAATAGTTACTTTTTTTTCTTACCATTGGCTTTATAGTTTTATTTGCATAAATTGGCCTTCTCCCAATTATATTTAGTACTGGCTTTCTTCTTTAAATCAGTACTAGATGCAACCACTTTGTTTTTGGGATATGCTTAGCTTTATGGCTTGATTTTTCCAGCTTCGTGAGTCCAAGGGCATGACAACCATCAAATTCCGGCCACATTCTGGGGAGGTACTCATGAAAGTTATATGCTACCTTCATGAATGTTTTATATCTTATATGTCCCTCATAATATTTTCAGGCTGGTGACATTGACCACCTTGCAGCAACATTTCTAACTGCTCATAACATTGCACATGGAATCAATTTAAGGAAATCTCCTGTACTACAGTATCTTTATTATTTGGCACAGGTAAGAACAAAAGGCAACTTAAAAATAATTTACTTAATCAATAAGCTTGGAATTTCTAATAATCGTCGTGGCACATTGGTTACCAGATTGGCCTGGCTATGTCTCCTCTGAGCAACAATTCCTTGTTTTTGGACTATCATCGGAACCCTTTTCCATTGTTTTTCCTACGGGGTCTTAATGTTTCCCTCTCTACTGATGATCCACTTCAAATACACTTAACAAAGGAACCTTTGGTGGAAGAGTATAGCATAGCTGCTTCTGTAACCTCTCTCTCTTTCTCTCTCTCTCTCTCTCTCTATATATATATATATATATATATATATATATATATCTAGGCAAGAATCTAGAATATGTACTTTAATATGAGGTTCAATTAAATTAAGGCCCTTGACTTGCAGGTGTGGAAGCTGAGTTCATGTGATCTATGTGAGATAGCCCGTAATTCAGTCTACCAATCAGGTTTTTCGCATGCTTTGAAGGTACATGCTCTTTCTGATTTGAGACGAGATGCTGATGGTTGGGAAGGGGCAGTGATCTGGTGTTGCCTCCTTCTCTAGGAATAGTCAGTATAGTGGTAGGAATGACTTGTACACAAAGAATGTACATGGTCTAATCCAAATGGCACGAGGCTTGAAAAGTACTCATGAAATATTGAAGGTGTGGAAGTAAATTGTTTTGTCACAAAATCTTTATACGGATTGAGTTTTGATTAGGGAATTATCCCAGGACTACTATTATTTAGAAATTATTGAGCTGCCCCTTCCACTTTGGTAGACCTCTCTTTGAAATCATTGATGTATTGAAATCAGTTGTATGATTGTATCTGTTTCAGTCGCACTGGATTGGAAAGCAGTACTACAAGAGAGGGCCGGATGGAAATGATATACGCAAGACAAATGTACCTCATATCCGGCTGGAATTTCGTGACATGGTAGGGGCCCGACTGTAATTTGCTAGGCAGACTCTTATAACCTGATAAAGATGCTTGCAAAAACATTTCTTAACCCGATCCTCTTCTGTTCCCAGTTTTCTACTTCCCTCCTTTCAATCATACTTTCTGGTCTCTGCTCAGTGAGTCGTTAAGCATTCAACATATTATTCTTCTGCAGATCTGGAAACTGGAGATGCAACAGGTTTACTTGGGCAAGGCTATTATCCCTGAAGAAGTGGACAAGTAATGTGCAAAATACTGCACAAGGTCCATTCTTGAACATTACACATATATTCAGAAGGTTACCATCTGATTCTTTTGGTCTTGTTTGAGTAGTTTCCTAGTTTCTTGTTAAAGATTTTTTTAATTAAAATATTTAAATTTGATTGAATAATTTGGAGTGTCTGCCGTTTCTCTTATTTATTGTAGGAGGCAAAGAACCTGCCTCCCACCCGCATCCTGCATAAAAAGGGATTATGACTCTCGTAAAAACTAAGAAATGGCAGGGACAAGAAGAAACAAGCTGATTATGAATTCAACAGGGCTTGAGGGAGCTGGTTGACCTTGTACGTGATGTAATTGTTGAACGGGAACATCTGCAGTATCTAAAAGAGCACGGGTGTATCAAAAACCAAATCAAGTACAGCCTATAACACGAGGAAGCAAAAGTTGCAGATAATAACCAAAATGATTTCTAGTTTAGGTTAAGAGCGATCATGTAATACTACTTAAAATGTATGCTGTTATGCCCTTAGCAGGAAGGGAAGAGTGCTCTCTTGCATCATAAATTTTGACCCAATTTTTGAGGAATCCGGATATCTCATGCAATACTTCACACGCCTTGAATAAATTTACTCGTCCCACTTTGTCTCATTCTCTCTACGTCTCCTTTTTTATTTAATAAATAAATTCTTTTCCTTATTCGTTATATGAAAGTTAAAAACAGTAAGATTGGAAGAAAAATTGTTCCGCTTGTGACTTGGGCAAAACATAATCTGGTTGGTTACTGTTCAAGCCCAGTATTGCTTTTTTTTATGGACAACTAGCCCAATAAAAACACTTTTTTTTTTGTTGGTGCAACAATATTAAGATCTTTGAGGCCTAGTAACATTGTCCCCGAGTACAAAGGGTAAAACAATCTCCCTTACCTCATGCATTTCAGCCTTTGCAGCAGAATCAGACATCCGGTTTCTGGAAGACTGACAGGTAAGCCATCAATTTTATATGCAAAACGGTTGAGCTGATTCAAACAACCCCCGAACTCAGAAAACTTGGTAACTCTTTAAAGTAACAATATCAGTTTCTATCAATCTCATCCAGACAAATAAGCTTTTAATTCAAGTACAATTACAAGCTATTGCTTCAGCTTTCCGACTCGAGCACATTAGACTTTTAACACCAACATCTTTAATATAATAAGAAAAGAAAAAGGACAAACTAATAGCGTTCTCTCTCTCCATGCCAGGGCATAATCCAAATAAAGCAAACAAGAATTTTAGCTCAATGAACCCAAAAGTACATCTCTATTTCTTGCGCTGATTTATCTCTTTGATTACACCATTGGCTAGTGAATCAACATCACTATTCTTCCCAAAAAATTTTACAAATTCCATATTAGGATCCATTAAGTACCTGCACAAGAAAGAAGGACCAGAATCAATGGAAGAGTGTGATTTACATGTTAAGTTCAGCATTAAGAATGAAAATCAAATTATTATGAGTGTGCATTGATGTGATAACAAGATTCAAGGCTCAAGCCCACAAATAATAGGGTTCCTACAAGCAGTGCGTGAAATGCCAATGACAGGCATTCGGGCAATAAAATGGTTAGACAATTACTAATTTCACCACAAAACTGAATGACGCAAGTTGGGAACTTGAGAGGTTTAAGTACTTTAAAGCAGTGCCACACAAGCCCACATTTACAAGCCAAAGCATTATTCCCTTGCCATGAAAATAAGAGCTCACTTGGATAATTGGAAACCTTTTCTCATTACCTAATCAAACATCTCTTGCCTGAAAACATTTCCATCTTTTTCTATTTTGACGTCTGCTATTTGAGTTCATCAATATCTAAAATACTTCAATGTTTCCATATTCATGCTGATACAGACTACAGATGCAGGTTAAACCAAACAAGGCATAAGGAAGCTAATACATACATGACTATGTAATGATCAACAAGTAGTCTGAATCTTCCTCTGCTGTCTTCATATAATAAACTCAATATGCACGAGCAACTTTCTTTATCTCATCAGAGTTACCAGTTAAACCTATTAATTTTGGATGAAACTCTGCAAAAGTGAAAAAATAATTACAGAGCTAACAATTTTGATGAACCAAATTATAATTAGCATATGCCACAGGATTAAAATAGCAATACTTTGAAAAAAACTATCAAGTACCTTTCACATATTCATGTACTTGCTCAGCGGTATCTGTCTCAGGATCAACAGAGATAAATACAGACACAATTTCCATTCTAGCCTTTTCCTCTAAAAACAAAAGATGATGCCCAATAGAAATTAAAAATACTACAAATGGTACCTATCACTAGAGATATTTCTAGTCCGACAAGTTCCTGTCTCGTATTCTTGTTTCTATGCTGAAACCAGAATCGGTTTATTTTCTTTGATTATAAGAAAGTATTTTAACTAACAAAACAAAAACAATTCATAATTTTATGTTCTGCCAAATGAAACTATCAGCAACTTACTGATTTTATCAATAACAGCAGCTAACTTTTGTAGCTCATCTGGGCACATATCTGAGCAGTGAGTGAAGCCAAAATATACCAAAGTCCACTTCCCCAAAAAAACCTTCTCGGTAACACGTTTACCATCATGGTTTATAAGACTAAATGGGCCCCCAATGGCTGCTTTTCCAGCAGATGGCCCCTCTTTTGCAGCCTTTGAAGCATTACTTATTTCTGCAGCAGAAAAGCTTCAATTAACATTTGCAGGAAAGAAAAACAACATGATGCTACTGACCAATAATTCAAAATCAGAGATATTTCATTCCTCACAAAGCTGAAAATAACAACTCTTTCCAGCCACAATTTATATTCACGAATCTACAACACTTAATAAAGCCTTACACTTAAACCACATGTCATTACCATGAATCTACGACACTTAAAGAGACAAATTATGATGCCCGAACTAGCAAGTTACAACTTTAAAAGACTCAGCTGCTTATTCTTATGTTTTCTTTCCCAGCAGAACCTTAAACATAAAAATCAACTCACCATAGAAGTGTGCCTTCAATATGCCGTTTCTTTTCTTTGTCGTAGTATAGGATAATTCCGATTCCAGTGGCAAGCAGCAACATAACACTTAACCATGAAACAGGCTGCAAATGCCAATCGGATCAACACAAAATCCGAATTTTTTTATACAGAAGGGGAAACTTTCAGAAAGAGAACCAATTAAAAAGCAAACAAAAGTACCCCGCCACGAATAGGCTTGCCTGCATCACCACTGCTCTGTTTTGAACCTCCTGTGTTTTGGTTCCTGTCAGAATTGGTTTTTGAACATGAAGACGATGTCTCTTGATTTGCAGTAGCAGCAGTGGTAGAATCAGATGAATATCTTCCACAAATTCCCTCTCCAACAGGAATAGCAACCTGTGGCCCAAAAAAACACTCATCATACATTGAAAGAATGCTGTTGATATATATATATATATATTTTGAGAAGAAAAGTAAGAAATGAGGAGGAAAACGAACTGGTTGTAAGAAAGGGAGAGACAGACAGTGAAGAGAGTCGGCTATTGGGGATGAAGAAGGAATGGAGGATCTGCATTGGCTCAGAGTGTGGGCATAAAGATACAGATGAAAGTTTCGAAAACGACTTGCGTTTCTCCGCATAGCAGTAGCCATGGCTCAATGGATCGATTCTTATTTCCTTTGCTTTTCAGCTTTTGTCTGGCTGTCTTCTGACACCGTGAAGCGAGTAGCTTCGCACTGGAAATGGTTGCGACTAGGCTTGTCTTTTTTGTGCGAAATTCTGTTCGGAGCTCTTGGACTGGGTTGCTGCCCATTGGCCACAACATTTCCCTGTCTTTGGGCTTATGTTTGCTACCCAAATGGAGAACATTGATGTCAGCACCTTGGCATGTGTGTGTCTGGACAAAAATCCAAGCCCAAAGGGCTAATGCTCTGGATTTTGGGTAATTTTGGGCCTCTAACTCGGCCTTTTCCTTTATTATTTTGTTGTTAAGTGGTTATGAGAATTTCCCTTTGAAATCAACAATGGTAGCTTCCAATAATGTCTAGAAATCTCACAAAGGTTTCGTTGATCATTGGTGATTGGAACGGATTGGATTCCGTTATTTGGTACTACAAAAAAGGGAAAATTAATATCAACCTCAATAATAGCAGCCCACCTCCATATTTTTTGAGAGTTCTTGCCTCTTCGGTTCATCTGCATGTGCAGAGCCCATCTTTCTTTGTCCTTATGTTCGTTAATAATGGGCCAAATTCACAGACAATTTTAACAAAGACCAAGTAAACGAAGGAAACACACGTACCCACACTGGAAATATCCTCTTATCTTCTTTGAGAAACACATATACCCACGTTGGCAATCAAAACCCAATAAATTGAAGAAACTAAGGTCAGTCCTCAAATAAATTATATATCACTAATTCAATGCAGGTAAATCATTAAATAATGAAATTAGATGGGAAAAAAAAAAGAAGCTCTACTCAGGTTATCTAATACTATGAGAAAACTTTCCACCGGCCATTAAAGATCAAAGTGCAATTCTTCTTGTCAGTTGATAGGAAAATTTTCTCAAACCTCCAAAATGTAGTGCTTGGTACTTTACACCATACGTATGGCTAACACGTCTACAAAAGCAAGCTCAAACTAATTATCACATAAATTTCTGAATCCTTTTGCCTATGATTCACTAAAACAAAAATTGATCTCAAGCATTTTAATAGATCTACTACATAACAAGTTGGTAATATTTACAATATATTTATAATGAAAAAGGAGGGGCTGGTTTTCTAAGGTAAAATCTTCTCGAACTTCCTTAGTCCATAATGCATGACATGTTGCACCACAGATGAAGATTAATGAAGATTTGAGTCACTCCTGTTCCAAGGGAACGAGCTGATGGGTAGCACACCAGCCCCAGCAGCCAGAGAAAGAAGCATCTATAAGTTGTTAACGAAAAACATTATCCTTAAAACAGCATGCTATTTCCAAGTCTTCATACTCATTTATACTTCTACTTCCTATATGCTGAACCTTTGTCCAGTAGACAATCAATCACGGTGGTAGCGAAAGATGTTAATGCACAGCTGCAAAGTGACAAAGGAAATAATAAGTATACCAAAGGAAGCTCTAATGATGTTTTAAATAATAATAAAAAACAAAGGCCACAGCCAGAGAAACATCGAACAAGAATTATGGTAAAATTTTCTCAAACTTCCCAAGCTGCAGTTGTGTGGCAAATCACACTGCAAAAGATAATAACCTTCGGAAGTCATGAGCTTTATTTTGCTTCTGCTAAACTGCTAAGAAATGATTAACCTAAACTCAAACAATTTTCCATGCCATAAAAAATCTTTATAAATTATTACATAAAAATTTATATTTTAAAAGTATTCCGACAATTCATTTAAATAAATTAAATATACAAACAAATATGAACAAAAAAAATTCGAAATACTAACCTGTATGCAAGTCTATCGACAAAAAGTTCATTGATGGCGTAGCACATAACTCTATGCATGAAATTCCATCCAGCCATCATCATTTTTCAAAATCTAATAAAATATTTAAATCAAAATTATTAAATAAAAATATCAGAATAAGAAATCCAAAATTCAGTTAAACCCTAACCCTTTTTTCGGATAATTGAAATTTTAC